TGAACAAGAAAATGTCTTGGATAGATAAATGAATTAATGTATAAATGGAAAAGGCTAATACCATTATTATTCCTTTTGTAAAAAAAATGAAAGTTTTAAAAGTACAAGTTCCTTAGGGTAAGCTTATTATTTTTGTTTCTAATAAAAACAGTTGTAGCTGGGCATGGTAGTGCATGTCTGTGATCCCATCACTTTGGGAGGCTGAGGCAGGAGGATAGAAGGTTCGAGCCTAGCCTAGGCTTTTAGGCTCAAAATTTTAAAAATAAATAAATAAAAGAAGGGCTGATAATGTAGCTCAGTGTGAAGACCCATGTGTTTAATCCTTACTACTAAAAAAACCCCACAAAAAACAAAAACCACCAAAACCCTCAAAACTAAACCATAGTCTTAATGCTTATAATTAGTATTTAGTGAAGGTTGTGCTGGTCCAAATTAAGATTTTTAGAATTTTTTTGTGGAGGGCTTTGAGACAGGGTCTCGCTATGTAGTTCAGGCTGGCCTTGAACTCACAGCGATCCTCCTGCCTCAGTCTCCAAGCGCTAGGATTACAGGTATGTGCCACCACCCCTGGCTTTTTAGAGGCTTTAAATGCTGAGAGATTATGGTGGTCACCTTCTGTATAAACAAACATTGAATGCTAATCTTTAATGTGAGGATTAGGCTGCCTGGCCAAGCATTCACTGTTTTTCCCTGTGAGGATTACTTCATTGCTTCATTTTCTTTTTTTTTTTTTTTTCCGGTACCGGGAATCAAACTCACGACCTTGTGCTTGCCAGGCAGGTGCTGTGCCGCTGAGCTAAATCCCCAGCCCCCATTGCTTCATTTTTATGTGTTTATTAAAATATAATTTACACACATGAAATTTACAAATCTTAAATGTACAGCTTAATTTTACATGTGAATGCACCCACATCAAAATGAAGAAAATTTCTAGTACCTCAGAAGTTTGTCAGGGCAATCAGTTCTGCTGCAGGTAGCCATTACTCTAATCTTTATCATTATAGATTTGTTAGCTTCTTGTTGAACTTCATGTAAGTAGCATCACAAATATGAATTTGTTTATGTTTCTTTTGCTCAAAATTATACTTGAGATTCATACGCATGTGGACAGTAGTTTTCTTATTCTCATTGTTGAATAGTATTACAGTTGTATAAATATATTACATGACTGCACAGGCTTTTTGTGGAACACAGACATTCATTTTTGCTTGATGTATACCCTGGAGTGGAATTGTCAGGCCATAGGATAAACCCTATGTATATATGGATGTATTGGTATTGGGGATTGAACCCAAGGCCTCATGCATGCTAAGCAAGTGCTCTACCAGTGAGCTACAGCCTCAACCCTATTTATTTGTTTTTTGTGGTGCTGGGGATGGAATCCAGGGCCTTAGCAAGTTAGGCATGTACTGGACCACTAAACTATATTCCCAGTCTCCCAAAGCTTATTTTTTTGGAACTGGAGATTGGGTACCCTTGCAATTCCCAGTACAGAAAAAAGGAGCAGGGGGGGAGAGAGAGAGAGAGAGAGAGAGAGAGAGAGAGAGAGAGA